ACCTTAAATGAGGGCGCTATGGTCAAAAACGTTATAAGGTCAACACACTTTTGACTGGTGGTCAAATTCACCAACACAGAGAACCTTATTAAATCACAATTAAATTACTCGTCTGGTCACTAGGATTCCAAAAATGTATAGGTTGTTATACCTCCGACCTTAAATGAGGGCGCTTTGGTCAAAAAGGTCAATGCACTTTAGAAATTCACCAACACAGTTAACATTGTCCGATTCTAATGATTTTAGTGTCTAATAATGTTTTCTGACATAACAAATTTAACTAAGCAACTTTTAAAATCAAAAGTGGTTGCCATAACCTTGAAATTTCCCCCAAACCCATGGATAAGAAGTTGTTAGATGTTTGTCACCGAAACGGCAGCCATTTTAAATGTACATGGTCAAGGTAAGCACTTTTACTTTTGAAAGTTGTATAGTTGAATTTGCCATGTCAGAAAACATATTATTAGACCCTAAAATCATTAGAATCGGACAATGTTAACTGTGTTGGTGAATTTCTAATGTGCATTGACCTTTTTTTTACCATAGCGCCCTCATTTAAGGTCGGAGGCATATCAAACTTTATATTTTTGGAATCCTCATGACCAGACGAGTAATTTGCTATGCATATTGACACGATTGGAACTATTTGAATTTTTATTCCTGTGTGACCTTTGTTGACCCCTCACGAAAATGCCCGGGATTTTCAAGGGGGCAGCCCAAGTCAAAATTGTTCGGTATTCATCAGGGAACAAAAAAACACTTGCAAACCTTTGTTCCCAGAGATTGGTTACGGGACCTACAGGCTGGTCTCCTACTAAAAGGGAAAGCAGAAAAGTTATATCAGATGAGAGAAATGCAATTTTTCAATAACAAAATATATACTGATATGATTTGCAGTTTTTAAAGTTTGGGATGCTTTAATTTATTGAGGCAATTGAGCTGGACCGATTTTTTTTTCTTGCTTATTTTATCCATGAAAAGGTAATATCATATCTCATTTATAATAATGCTTTTTTCTCATTATTGTCATCTTTACTCACTCATAATATGCCTTCTATACATATTTAGCTCACATCTCATCCAGTTCTACTTGACTTCCATAAACATAACGAAGCAACAAAACATAATTGCATTTCACATAAAGCATTTATTAGATTCTCAAATCTCAATTAAATCATATTTTTCATCCTAGATATTTTATGATGGCCGATTCTTTCTCATGGCACAATGAAACTTTTCTAAAACTTTATCTGAATTCATAGCTAAATGCACATCGTATGTGCTATGCAGTTCATTTGGTGAGTAGGATGGATAATATAAGTAAATGAAGAGGATACTCTTGAGTACATAATTGAAATCTAATAAAAGGCCAACATCCTAAATAAACTTTTCCCTCCTGCATTACAAACTTTTCAAGAAAGGATCAAAATCAAGAATACATTTTTTCGCTTCAATTTTGAAATCTTGGCTGTCATTGTTTTCCAGGGACATAACATTTTCTCTGCACATGGCACAACAAACAAAATTGCTAACTAGGCAGCGTCTATTAAACAAAACTGTCATTATCGTATTAAAGTCAGTGAACATCCCATGAAAATGGAGGTCGCAAAATTGGCAGGTGTTTTAATAAGATGTCAGCGAAGGTTTTTGAGATGCTGCCTCTCATCCTTTGCCCGAATACACTGTATTGTATTGAATGCTAAGGCAGGATTTTTCACCCATTACATGGAAATGCTTAAACATTTCATTTTATTACAGTTGGCAGTTTTAATTGTAAGGGTGAATCCACATTACATCTGTACAAATATGAAAGCCACAAAAACACATGTAAATGGACTTTTATGACCGGACACTTTTTCTCGTAAATACATGCAGGTGGATTTTTTGGAAAGAATATTCAAAAGAAACTTGTTGCAGTGTCTCAAAGATATCATAATTGACACAAGGCTTAGTGAGCAAAGACCAAATAGATAGTAAGAAAATGAATGAAAAAGAAATCTTACTAAAAGAGGGACATTCAAAAAATTGCAAATCAACAACAGATGGAACATGTTAACTGCGTCTTCAAAACATAGTTTACATTGTTAGGTGTTTCCAACTTTTTCCATTACAAGATGAAAGTGAATCAGGGCTTGATCATTGACAATTAACATTGAGCAATATCAAATGCTATTTGTAAATACTTTTCATCCATGTTACATTGTATCAAATTTCTTTTTTCATATAAACAAAAGTTGCACATAGTGTACTCTGTCCCAAAGACATGTAGCCATGCTCATTCTATTCAGCCAAATACCTACATGCTTTTCTCTCATAGTTCATTGCACTTTATATCTCTTTGCAATAAATTTATATTAATAATGCCCAATATTATGGATTATCACTCCTTGTTACAGATAGTACTAACACCGTGTTTTAAGTACATTTGAAAGCAAATTCCATTTTTTTTTCTTTTGAAGTTCTCTTAAAGAGCAATGACAAAATATAAACAAATGACAGTTTTGAAAACTGCAATTTTTTAAATACTCTCGCTCATATTTAAAGTACTGCTAAATTAACATAAAGAAATAATAAAGAAATAAAGACGGTTTGTTATCTGTCTTGCAACTCAAGATACAAAACAAGTTGAACAAATGATATTGTGCTATACTGATTGCAAAAATCAATTTTCCTAAAGTATATCACCTGGATCCTCGTCAAACAGAAGGTGATCAGGGCCGGTATTTAATTCAATACTTAAATTAGAAAGAGGAGTATTCTACTCAGTTTGTGGCTTAGATAAAATACTTGATGCTTCTGGCTAAGTACTTTACCGTAAATTTAAGACAGCTCCCTAGCTGACTTAAGCCAATTATTTTGGAAGCATTGATTGGCAGGCATTTTTATACGCGGTCATCATAAGCTGCGTGCAGTTATATTAGCGGCATTTAATGCAACGCGTTAATTGCGTATTACTTTTGATTGACCCTGTGATGCCATAATGCTTTATCAGTAAGTATTTTGCCGTTAAGTTTGTTTGCGAAAGTAAATTGCTTAAATGCGATTTGAATACGAGTACAGACATTTTACTAAGGTAAGCCAAATGCTAATCAAAAATCTTACTTAAATCCCCACTGCACTACTTATAGCTACTTGCGCCCTCTATATAGCAAACAGTGCCTAATCAGTGCCTAATCCCCCATGATCCTCTTTTTCTTTTGTTAATTGAGAGCTGATTCGATGGGATAACCACCTGTCAGTGATCTTGCAGGGAGGTCTAATCCCCCCTGGCCAAACTAGTGCAGATGGGCTTAAGCAAAGTATCGAATTGAATACCCACCCCGATACTTATTCCCTTAAGTTCTAGATGAGGTTTAGGGTTAAGGTTCACGAAAGGGTCGGGACCAGGGTTGAACTTACAATTTAACTCGTGCTTCAAATGGATTTTATGGACCACATGTCATTGAACACCTCAGATATATATTCCAAAGGTAAAATATTAGACAACCATATTTCACACATTGATGATTGTCCCAAAATGTTTGTAACCAAATTAAAGACGCCACTTCAATCGTCTATACATTTCACTCACAGCTATGCAGTGCATCTCATGGTAAAAACCACTGCAGATTTAAGTACAATACTTCATATCTACTGATGGCTGTGTCCATACTTTGGAATTAATCCTAATCATTAATCATTCAAATCATGTTTTGTTGTCATCTATGATGCATGATACCTTGCCACGTTACTGCACATGCTTAAGTATCAAACTGAGTATGGGCAGAGATTTTGAGAGAACACTTAGCTGTCTATACATCTCAAACTATCTTTAATAGCATGTTAAGAAATCAAATGGGATCTCACACTGTATCAACATACCTGCCAACCTGAGACAAGAGAAATTAGGAGTAAATTTTTCTGGATGGACTACGAGGTCGCGAACCACCGAAGGATTGGGGTAGTAGCCCGTAGATTGGGGGGGGGCAGAGATGCCAACCCTATAGGATGGCTGTCAGTAACATTTACCATATTTGTCCGTAACAAATGGGGGTCTTTCCGTAACGCAAGACACCGCAGCATAATTTTCGCGCAAAACGTACACAAACACCCAATCACTCTTACTGCATTTCGAACCTACCATATTCAAGTCCAAAATAAAGATGTGCATAAAAACGTTTTTAAAAATCTGTTTCCAGTCAAAGGATCTCCTTCTCGGGTACTCGCTCTTTTGAGTGAATCCATGATAATATTCAGGAAGAAAACACCTCGTTCAAGAGTCGAATGGCAAATTCGAATCCACAGTCAAATGGCAGAGCTCGTATTCTACAAACGCACACGTACACTCACCAGTACCACAGACACACCATACAGCCCAGGCCGCTAGGCCCGGCGTTCATGAACAACAACACACCGTATACCGCACTGCACTTGCAATGCGCCCGCTGAATCACCGAAGTCTTCGCTACTATATTGCGGGCGCCATGCGCACGATCATCTACCCCCATGCTCCCCTCAAAAGGCACGAACGCACGTAGCATACGTAGCGGCCGTGTTGTTTTGGAATTAAACAAGATGGCGGCGGACGGACCATGTGCGCGAAAGTGTCTATCCAGTGTAGTCAAATTCAGTGAACCTATGAGTGAATGCGTGCGACATGCAGCGCTGTGTGCGGAGGCTATGTGATAAGGCGGCATTCGCTATATAAAGTACTTATGTTTATCGTTTCCCCGTAAGGCGTGATCTGGTTATCAGTGCTGTGTTATGCTTTAGTCTTATGCAACAGTCGTTTGTTTTAAAAATATTTTAAAATTACAAAAAATCGGAGTTTTGAGGCATGCAATCGGAATTCGGAGTGGGTATGAAAAAGCGGAGTAACTCCGCCTAAATCGGAGTGGTTGGCAGGTATGTATCAACAGTAAACATGATCGAAATAAGACAATCATTTTGAAGCGGGACAGCAATTTGAAATAATTTGCTGTACATGAAGTGTGAAAGTTTTTTTTCTTTCTCTCTCTTATTGTGCTTAGAAAAATGGTGGGAATCTCCACATCATATAAACAGAGACTGCATGTAAGACAACACTTTGCTGTCCAATATTAGAGAAACACCTCCTTGTGGTTAGGAAACATGGCATCATCAACTTTAATGATGTGTCAACAGAAAACAAGATTCAAACAAGACTTATTTAAACTAGGAATATCTCCACTCTATGGATACGTTCCCACGATGGCTCATGATGATATTGCAGGTCGAAGGTCAATTAAGCTCGGCCTGGTCCATCTTTTCATGATGCGATGCCAGAGAACTGTAAGTAGGAAGACTGTGCTCTCTTCTCTAGGTTGTGTAGCTCCGAGACCGCCGGGGCCAAGTCCTCGACGTGACCCTTGTAACCACTCCCTGTAAAAATCAAAGTAATGAGAATTTTATCTTAAGTCAAATAATGACATAATTGAATAAATATGGAAACATGGAATAATTTCTGTTTGTCCCAGCAACTCTGGAGGTAGAATGTATCCATCCTCTACTGCCTCTCCCCCATAAACAAAATAATTTGCAAAAGCTTGCAATGTCTAAACATCTTATAATAGAAAATATTCCAAACTCAAAATCATTAACAACAACAACAACAACAATAACACTTATGAATAGTAATAGAATGACAGTGAGGCCATTTTAAATTAAAAAAATAAATGGAATAACAATTGTGACTAGTTTGAAATTGAGGTGCGTAAAAAAATACAGCTGTACCAGGGTGGGGCTGGTACAGATATAGAGTGAATCTTCCAGAGGTCCTTACAACTACATGCCAGCAGTAACATGAATTGTACTTCACAAAAATAAGGAGGAAATCAAGAGTAAAGATTGTCTTCAATTGCTGCGTAAATGATTTATCTACACAATGCATCAACCTGAAGCACTTAAAGTAATTAAAGAATGTATATATATATATATATATTGCTACATTTGCCACACTCGACCCAGGTGAAGAAAATGGTACCGGTAGGAAGTAATTCCTTGAAGCTTAAGCTCCTTTCTCAGGGCAGCTAGACTGGAACTGGGGTACTAATATATTTAAGTACATAGAGACATTGCTAAATATGTCATGAGCACTAAGTACAAGGGTGTTTCTATCATGATCAGTAATATTTGAAAACAAGAAATGAAAAACTGACCCATATGTTTTTTCTTCTGCCCATAGGCGACCTTGCCATCAAACGCATCCGCCTGGACCTTCAAGGTGGAATCCGTCTGATCAATGATCACTCCTAGATGTTCCTCGATGTCTGCTAGATACTGCATCTCGTTGTACCAGATACAACATCCGCCTTGATCCTTCAGCGCGGTGTTGTGGCAACTCTTACCACGACTCGGACAAGAGTGGTACCATACCTGTATTATAGGGGTAGGTGGATTTCAGTAGAAAATTTAGTTTGTCATGTGTTGTAGCAACGAATATAATGACTGGCATAGGAGTAAGTACAATACCTACAGTGATTATTTTAATAACAATATTTCATTAATCATCTTTTAACAGAAAAAAGTTGTCAATTTCAGAAAATATCTTTTTTCGTTTTCATATATAGTTTAAAATTAATATACACTATAAGTAAATAAAGTACTAAGAACAAGACCCACCTTTTCAGGAATTGTAGAAACAAGTGAAATAGCTAGGCCCATCCTGAAAAGAGACACAAATAAACACTTTAAAAAAATGGCAAATTAGTAAAGGAATAGAATCTTTAAACACGTTCATTTACTGTTTTACAATTTTGAACAAGGGATTGAAACTAATTGAAGTCAATCAGACCATAACAACAAACACATTGTCTACAGTTTCATGAGTTTTCATTCACTGTCCTTGGCTAAAATTGAACCCCTTGCCCCCCCCCCCCCACACACCCTGTATCAAAGAATTACCATACTCTTACAGTTTTAAAGAGGGGTCTGAAAACACATCTTTTCTACTTTGTTGTAATATTCCTCTCGGTTTGTAATTAATGTAAGCTTTGTATGATAATGTTCTCTCCCTCCGTTTGTTTGAAAGTATTTCTTGTTTAAGTGCTTTGAATCTGATGTAAAGGCGCTTGATGTATTTTGATATTATTATTATTATTGTTTGAAAAGACAAGAATATATAAAAATATGAATAGAAAAAAAAGTTTCCAACTAACCTGTCAGCTCTGCCAACACGACCGATACGATGAACATAGTTCTGCTTCTCATCAGGTAATGTCACATTGACAACTGTAGAAATAAACAAAATCATTTATTCATTCATTTGTTTATTCATTCGTTTATTTATTCATTCATTCATTCATTCATTCATTCATTCATCCATCCACCCACCCATCCTTCCATCTACCTATCCATCAATCCGACCAACCATCGATCCACCTATCCTTATTTCCATCCACCTATCCATCCTTCCACCCACCAACCTACCCACCCAACCATTTATCCTTCCCTCCACCCATCTACCAACCCACCCACCCACCTATCTACCCACCCAGCTAACGA